CAATAATACTTAGCTACCTACATATTATATATTTTTACAACAAATGCATACATACATATTCCAATGCTACACTAAACTAAATTCTTTGATATTTAGTCGGGCTTACAATTTTGTATATTTGATGTGTAGGTACCTATAAGTAGCGATAGAGTTGAATGGTTTTTAATGTTTTTATAACACATAATCACATTCACAATATGTATAAGGTACCTATACGCGTGTAATTTTTTTTGTTATAGATATACAAAAAAAGGAATCAAGTTAATGAGTTTTAATAAATTATTAATTCAACGCTATATTATTTAACTTTTTTTATTGTTTACTCGATCGCAAATGACAATATTCAATAAAACAACGCGCGTGCTGAAATACTAACTACTTATAGATTAAACATTTAAACATATCATATTAATTAAACAATTCTACTAATGAGATGTCGAGTGATATTTACTAGTTGATAATTTACAAAGATATCTTGAGATTATTAAATAGGGCATAACGCATAAGTTTTAATAAAACATAACATAGGTATCATAAACGTAGCCGTTTATAAATTATAATATTATGACGCGCCATCGCGCGGATTTGGTGTTCGATGCTACGGGTCACGTCCCCACATAACATTACATATAACACAAACATTTAACCAAGTCCTTTATGATGTTCTCTTAACCTGCATGCCAAAATATGCAGCATTAAATTACGGATTTGGGTGTCGTAACACGCAAAAAATTGTTTTTAAGATCTTTTGCTGCARGGGCGGGTTTAAGGGGGCAATAGCCCCCCCTTGGGACTAAGCTAACTATTTTACAAAGCCAAGTATTATGATATATTTCATGTTCATAAGGAAAAAGAAGTATCAACAGATAACATCATTGAACGGTTTTCAAAAGTTAAAAAAAGAAATATAGAATTAATAATGTAATATATATATTTTATAAATAAATAGCTAATTTTTGTTGTTTATTATATTTGTAAATCTATATTTTTTAAACGGTTTCAGATTAAAATTGATACCAATAATGTAACTATTTAAAATTTGTCACTATTGTGAAAAAAACAATGACTTACTTATGAGGGTCGAGGGACTCAAAAATATAATCTGTAATTTTAAATTTTATATAGACTTAAAAAA